GATCACCTTAGCCAGGGACAAGAGTCAGATAAACTTTGTATGGCAGAGTTAGGAGTGTGATCAGATCTGGTGACAGGCGACAACACTACAGAGAACTCCTAGCCCTGAATCTGGGAGCTGAACTATTATACTGAAAAATTGAGGATAATACCACAATCAAGAAAATCCACTTTCTATGCCAAGACATCCACACACATGCATTTGTCCATTAATCTTTGTGACAACAAAGAGCACTGGTTGAGTGGGGTAGCAAGAAGCTAGTTGGTATAGTAATTCTCATTTGGCCTTGGTGGACTAGTTAGGATTGTGGCTCCTTGGATTAAGTGAATCAAGCATTAATGCCAAGCCTGCCACAGAAAACCAATTGACAGATGTTCCCTGTTTCCAAAGAAGTGCTTTTATATATTTGCCCCCTCCAACAATGCACAAACCCAGGAGACTATATTTTCCCATGTTCTTCTTTTTAGCTCCTTTGCTGCCAACACTGAATGGGCCAAACACAGTTCCAATAAAAAAAATACAGAAATTTTTTCCTATTTGCATGCTTCATCTCATTATACCTCTTTTTTCTTCTCCTTTTCCTTTCTTCCTTTACCACATGTCTTCCTTCACTCCCCTCCCCTTCTCTTCTGTTTAGCTCTTTATCCCCTATGTGAATTACTTTGCCTAAAGCAAGTAAATAGCCTACTGAATCTTAACATCTGTCATGCTGGAGCTTAATTGTTAATATGGCATATCACGAATCCCATAAGGGATAAGCCTCCAGCATGTGTGGGATAGAGTTTTTAGAGTGGAAAAACTGAGGTAGGAAGACCCACCCTAAATGTGGGTGACACCCTGCCATTGGCTAATTTTCTGGACTGAATAAAAATGGTAGATAGATCTAAGCACCAGCATGCATTTCTCTGCTTCCTGACTAGAGTTACAATGTGACCAGCTGTTTCAATCACCTGTATGGAAGAAGTAAAGAAGCAGAAGGCAAGTCTCACAAGCTCATCTATACAAATGTCTACTGTACATCTGCAGCACATCTGGGAAGATGTCACTGGGAAAAGTGAGACTCTTCCCTTGCTGTGCTATGCACACAGGCATGAGGCATGCAGGGAGTAGTATATTTGTCAATCTTAATCTCCATTTCCGTTCTATGGCTAAACACCATCATATACTTATGCTAGGTATGTCTCTTCCAAGGTCTGTTTCAGTATGCTAACTCACAGCACAGCACAAGGATGATGACAACAGTTCGGACCTCCATTACTCATATAGCAGCTCAGAGGCATGTTATAGCAGCCAACACTTGTCAGACAAAGACAGCACGCTCAAAAGAGAAAAGGTAGGTAGCTACATCAGCCATATAAGGGGTTCACCAAGTGATCTTGACTGACCCAGTAATGCAGTGGAAAGTTATCAAGGAATATTCCTGATTCCAACATCATGACTCTATATTTATGTGTGACCACATATAAATATGCTAACACAGATGCAAATATACATTCATGCCATACACATATATGCATACATAAAACTCACAAAACAGAAATAATGAAACTATCAACAGTCATGATGTTGAGATTGCACTTCAGTTAAGGCTACATTCTGTAAAATTTCCCATCTTCTACCTAATCAATGCACTGGACAACATGGCTGTGTTTCAAATATCCCTAACGATCATGGTGACAAAACAGTGTTGAGTTACAATATTGATTCTGGAAATCCATCAAGCAATGAGTCATTGATCAACACTTTCCATGCTGTCACATTGAAATTACCAGGGCAATGCAGAAGGTGTGTCCTATTTCATAATATCTGCTGCATCTGTGTCTGGAGCACAGAAAGCACTCATGATCACAGCAGTGGTTCAGTGATCAAAATGCTGCTGGACTGTCTACTTTGATTAAAATTTTTTGCATGGATAGAGGTATCTGGACAGGCATATCCATACTGATACTTAAACAATGCTATACTCAACCTATCCCAGTCAAGACACGCAGTCCAATAATGGCATTTTCTGCTACCTGCCAAAGATAAGCAGATAATGGTTCCATATTTCTGAGTGATGGAGGACACAGTCTTTCATTTGGACTACTGTAACTGCTGGTTAGTTTTGCCAATCGAGAGATTCTTAGTGAGGTACTGTCTTGATGAGGCTGGCCTGTGAGCATGTCTTTGGGGGACAGTCTTGATTGAGTTAATTCATGTGTTAGGACCTAACACAAAGTTAGGTGGCACTATCTTTTTGCTTTAGGTACTGGGCTATGTAAAAGAAGAAGGGGTAAACTGAGAGTGAGCACGCATATATTCATTCTCTTTCTGTTCTTGACTGTGGATATAAAGAGTTGCTTCAAGTTCCTGCCTCTACTTTCTCTAGTAATAGATTCTAACCTGAAATTATAAACTGAATAATCCCTTTCTTCTCTGTTGTTTATGTTGGGAAATTTTATCCCAGCAATTGGACAGGAAACTAGAGCAAAAGCTAAGCAAAACATTCATGCATTCATTCACTGCATGGATAAATTACACAAAAATGGAAACTCTGGGGTTTCAATTGCCTTTAGCCAGACGACATTTGCAAACATACCTGTCACTGAAGACTAAATAGTGAAGCATAAATAATCAGGCAAAGATGACCTATACCATCATTTCCCCTTTTCAGTTTCATGAAGATGAACTCAATAAAGCACAGCTATTCTAAGATGGGACTCACTGGAGAGAAGCCTAACAGAGTGAGCATGTTCCTAACTTGACCTTGGCTACAACTCTATCAAGATGTTTCATCCAGACCCATCCACATGCTTTCACAACTCACTGCATTTGTGATCAATGTAAGTGTCTCTTGATAAAAATTTGGCACAAGGCACTGCTGCCTCTCTCCCCTTTTAAGTCATACAAAGTTCATCCCATCTCTGTTCTTGTGATAGTTGGGTAGCTAAGATCACATTAGCAAGAAAGAAAGAAAGAAAGAAAGGAAGGAAGGAAGGAAGGAAGGAAGGAAGGAAGACAATCCCCCATCTTCAGATTCTGCTTCAGCCAGAAAGATTCATAAATTAGACTTTCACATTGAGTATAATTTATGGAAATTGTAAACTACTTGAACTGATTCCACCAAAAAGAAAATACTAAATCTTGATGAGTAGCAAACTTCCTCCAAGAAATAAAATGTGATGCTTAAATAGAACAAAACCCTTAAAATAAATTTAAAATTTTCAGTAGTAAATCATATTACTTACAGGAGTTATTAATTAAGGAAAAGACCGGCAATCAAAAGCAGGTTTTAAATCACTTGATATTATACTCTACTGGATGTACAAAACACAGCTAATGAAGATACAGGTGTAGTGGGTGATAAAATGAAAAGTGGATGTTCTCAAGGTCTCGTATTTCTTTTAGCAAGTATATTTTCAGTGATATTATTTTCAGATATAGAAATTACATTATCCCACATATAATGGAAGCAAATACAAAATGCACATGAAATGTTTATGGAGTTTTATGGCTTGTGCTGAGCCATACAGTATTGTGTTGATATAAAATAGTGCAGACTGGTCTTATATCAGTACTAGACTATCATATCTAAAATAGCCACCCACCCCCACACACATCCACACATATACTCATACATGTAGATGCACAGGTATATGCACATAGTGCATACATGCACACATACATACACATATGATGCATGTCCACACTCATTCTCACACATACATACCTACACATAAGCACCTTGAAAAGCAGTGACTTTTCACAGTTCATATTTCCATCTCCACTATCAGATGAGGTTGCTTGAATAGAATTAAGTTCTCTGTGACTATTGATGGGTGAATATGATGGAGGGAGAAGGGAGGAAGAGATAGGGAAATAAAAGAAGGACCAAATGCAGTCCAAGGCCTTTGAATCTGTCCACTCCCACCATTGGTACTAGATAGCATTGGTGCCAGTGCTGAGGATCAAAGAGGCAATGAGTACCACCTTACACCAGTTGGGTCTTCTATTGCTGTGATAACAAGCAACTTGGAGAGGAACAGGTTTATTTTACTTACACTTCAATATCACAGTCAGTGAACAAATGAACTCAGGAGAAGAACTCGAGCAGGGCAAGAATCTGGAAGCAGGAGCTAATGTAGAGGCCAAACAGAAGCTGCCCACAGGTATGTTTTATATTGCTTGCTCAGCCTGAGGTCTTATAGAATCCTGAACCACAATCCCACGGGTGGCAGCATGCACCATAGCGAGTCCCCCTCAAGTGAACCACTAAGAAAATGCTCTACAGATGTCCCTAAAAGCCAATTATATGAAGACATTTTCTCAATTGAGAGTCTCTTTTTCAAGGGACCCTTGCTGGTGTCATGCTGACATAATACCAGCCAGCACACTCCGTATTTTTTTACTACTAAAATCTGAATTCCTTTGCTTTAGTCAAGCTATTTGATCATGCTGTTAACAATAGTTACCAGGAACGATGGACTGGTACCTCTGCCCATGCTGTAAATTTTTCTTTCAATGACTTAAAATGTAAAATTTTATAAATGTCTGAAAACTATATATATATATATATATACATATATATATATACACACACACACACATATATAGATAGATAGATAGAGATATAGATAGATAGATAGATAGGTGGTACTAAAACAGTCTGAGACAGTTTATTGTGATGAACGACAAAGCTAGAGTAAAACATTTTTTTCTTTGGTTTTTGAGGGAGGGTTTCCCTGTGTAACAGCCCTTAGCTGTCCTGGAACTACCTCTGTAGACAGACCAGGCTGGTCTTGAACTCATAGAGATCTTCCTGCCTCTGCCTCCTGAGAGACAGGATTAAAGGCATGCATCATCATCACCAAGCAGAATAAAACAATTTATAAAATTAAGCTTTTAGTTACAAAAAAACATATTTCATTTTCTAGTTATAAAATACTAGGAATTTTACTTGATCTAGGGCACAAAGCTATCTTGTAGGTATTAGCACAAGTATGCTCTATAATGTATCCTACCTACAAACAACTGGCTATTCAGCTGAAGTCGGAAATGGCCTTCCTCTGAAGTATCACGCGTGCTCTGTGGAAGGTTGTCCACCTGCAGGGACGTCTCCTTGAGGTTTCTCTCAGCCCGGATATAATGCCATTGGTTGTCATTCAGAGGAGAAAGAGATTGGACGAGAAGCTCAACAGGGCCGTTACCAACATCAATAGCGAATGTGACCTCAGAAGGAGCTGTAGCCAAACAAGAAAGAAGGATGAAAGCCATTGTCAGTGTGTTGCAGGCACAAGCACATTTGGGGTGTTTAGAGAAAGGGATTCTAAGCCTCTATTAATGTGGAGAAGACATTTCTGAACTCTTGAGCATTGGGATTACCATCAACAGTATTAACCTCTAAATACTATGAATGTAAGTGCTCTATGCTCTGCCCACTTCAGTTGTTCCTTGTTGTCCAATACAGCAGGGACTAGGGGCATATGTGCCTGTCTGACTCTGCTGAAACTCTGTGTTTCCTTGGTCTATGCTGGTTTTTTTTCCTATGTCCTACTGTACACAAGAGGTAGCTATCCATCTGTAAGATGCAGAGGATACCATCTCCTCAGAATAACCATTTGCCAAGATATTTAGTCAATAACGTGATCCAAAAACTCATATTTCCATATCTAAAAATGCCAAAATCAGTCAGAAGGCTCAATGGATAAGAACATATGTTGCTTTTGCAGAGAATCAGAGCTCAGTTCCTACCACTTAGATGATACACCATATAACTGCGTAAAACTTCAGCTCCAGCAATATTATGAAAAAAAATCTGCAGCCATTCATTAATAACACTGATGATATTAAAGGGATGGTGACAATGAAGATAGTAACTGTCCTGGCCATGGAGATGGTGGTAGTAATGACAATGACCATGATTGTAGTGATGCTACTGCTGATGGTAGGGATGGAATCTGGAAGAAGATTGTCGTTGAGATGGTAGTGATTGTGGTGGTGGTGATATTGATGGTATGAGTAGTCATCAGGATAGTGAGTCTTGTATTTAATTTAACTATCAATGGAATCTAGAACCACATGTGAGACAATCCTCCTGGCACAATTGTGCAGGCTTGTCTAGAATGGGTTCTGTGAGGTGAGAAGACCATCTAAGTGTGGGTAACACCATCCTATGGCTGTAATTATGAACCAAGTACAAAAAGGAGAATTGAGCATTACTGTTTTTCACTCTGTTTTCTGACTGCATGTACAATGTTATCTATTGCCTCAAACTCTTGTCATTATACCATTCCACCATGTTGAACTGCACCCTGAGACTATAATCCACAATAAATTCTTCTTTCTTTAAGTTGTTGTTATCAGGTATGTTGTTCCAGCAATAAGAGAAGAGGATACATTGGTGGTGTGGCTGGGTGGTAATGGTGGTGGTAGTAATGTTAATGGAGGTGATGGTGTCATTAACAGTGGTAGTGATAATAATCTCAATGATTATGCTTCTGACAGAGTAGGTAAGGACTATGGTAGTGATGGTGACAATAATAGAGCTTGTGGTAATGATGGTAGTATCACCAATATAGATTAACAGAAAGAATTAGAAGTGATTTCATGTAAAGCACAATGTATAGATTTTCTCACTGTGGTCCTCAAAACAGCTCAGAGAAAGGCATACATGACTTCAAGTATCAATACAAATAGTTCAGAAAACCAGTATCCCAGATAGTAATATCTGACTGTAAAGGCAAAGCTTCTTAACAGGTCCTTCTCTTAATTATCTGGTGTCATATGATGATTTTCTAAGTACAAACAAAGGAGCAGTTAGTTATGAAATGGGGGTGATGAGAAGGCAATCTCCTGGGTATCTCGAGCCTTCTCATGTAAGTCATGTTCTACTGCTTGGCACTAAATGGTTTTTACTCTCTTTCCCTCAACACAGGGAGTGGGCTATAGCTGCTCATGGCATAACTGCCACATCAGAAACCTTCAAGTTCAAATACCTTCTGAGACCATGGCCCCCAGGGTTTACATCTTAGCAGAAAACTGCCCTTGCACAAGAAGCACCACCATACACAACTCCAGGCAACTAAGGACAGACAGTTTTGCTTTCTCATGAGTTTTGTCCTTAAAGGTAAGCAGTAAGTCAATGACTGCAAACAACATCAATAAAGAATCTCCTGAAGAAGTTCTTTTTATCATACTTCCATTTTCTTATCTGAAAAGTGAGACTAAAAGTTAAGCTGGAAATCAGGTTATCTGCATGTTAATTTTGATGAAACTATTCAAACAATCCCTGATTCAAAATGGGTGCTCCTAAGTGATGGTTGCATTATTTCTGTATCATACGATTTCCCGATGCAGATAAAGATATTTTGTTTACAAATTCATGCGCTGGAAGAAAAAGTATTGACATGAACAGAGTAGGTGATAAACAACAAATGCAAAACAGAATTCTATGAGCATTTTCTCTTTCTACCTTTTTTCAGTTTTTGTTTCTTCTTTTGTTTTCTTCCTTTCTTCTTTCTTTCTTTCTTTCTTTCTTTCTTTCTTTCTTTCTTTCTTTCCACATACTCCTTATTTCCTCTTTTTTGTTGTGTTCATGTCCATGTATGTGCAGCTGTGTGTGTTTGTGTTATGTGTGATGGACATATTTGAGGGTAAATATGGAGGCTAGAGGTCAACCTCAGAGGCCATGACTCAAGCAGTTTCTTCTTGTCCTGGGGCTAATTGAGGAGCCTGGGCCGGTTGACAAGTCTGGTCCAGATATCATTATGTTTCTTTATGTGAAAAGTGTGATTACAAGTACATGTTCATCACACCTGATTTTTAATGTGTACTCTGAGGTTCAAACTCATGTTTATAAAACAAACACTTGACAACTAATCCATTCTTCCAGCCCTGATTTCTGTTTCTGCTTCAATTGATTTTAGATATATTATTTTATAGGTTTATTTTACCTGACTATATGTCTATGCATCACTAGTATGTCAGATATTGACAGAAGCCAGAAGAGGGTGGTAGATCTCTTGAAACTGGCATTACAGATGCATAGAATCATGACATAGATGGTGGTAACTGAACATGGGTCCTCTGTAAGAACAGCAATATTTATTAGCCATTAAACCATCTCTTTAGCCTCAGTTTCTTTTTCTTTCTTCCTTCCTTTATTTCTGTTTTCTTTCTGTCTCTTTTATTTTTAGTTGTGTTTTGAGACAGCATCTCTCTGTGTAGCCCTAGCGGTCCTAGAACTTGCTTCATAGAACAGTCTGGCCTTAGACTCACAGAGATCCACCTGCCTCTGCCTTCTCAGTGATGGGATTGAAGCTGTAAACCACCACTAGCCAGATCTATTTCTTATTTCTTATTCAGATCACTAGTTCTATCTTGAAAATCTGTCCATCTCAAAATCAAATATTTATTGAAAGATGACTGGTTTTCACATAGATCTCTTTATACATATGCAGGATGAAGATTCATGAGAGTACATGGGAGAAATATTAAAGATTTGAGTAAAATTCACCCTTAAAGGTTAGTCTTAAATGTAGTAGGTTACCACCAGGCAGCATATTCCTCAAAGTGAGTAAATGCTGTAGTCCTCTTTAGCTGTTCTTGTTTATATACTTGGGTGCTAGTATCCTTGTAAAAACCATATTTTGTGTTTTGTTTACTTCTTATCAATTAATTATCAAAGACCAAAAATATTTAAACCATTCCTCCTGGACAATAAAGAATGAGTAAAGTAATAGAAGCAATAACATTAATATTTATTAAGTGCATCACACAAGCCAGACATACTGCTAAGCATTTTCTATCCACTGAATTCAGTTGGGCCTCAATACAACCTTGCTATATGGAACTATTTCATCAGTGAGTTAACTGAGCACAAGCTGTCACAGTGGCTAGAAGAACTAAGACAAAGCCTCGGAATATACTTCTAGAGATTTTATTCTGTAACAATTCTTTATTGATTCTTTGGGAATTTCACGTCATGCACCCTAACCCCACTTACCTCACAGCCCCTCTATATCCACTCCTCGCTCCTTCAGACCCCTGCAAAAGGAATCCCCCCCCCTCAACGCAATTAAAAACAAAACAAACAACAGTAACAAAAACACCTTGAGTCTCCGTCTTTCCAATATCTCTTCATTCATCCTAGTGACACTGGGTGATGTTCTATGTCTCATTCTATACCCTTCTGTCTGATCAGCCCTAACCACAAAATGGTCATTGCAATGAGTCATTGCTGTGCTTCATGGCCTCTCGTACACCAGATCATTGAACTCTCACATCAGCCCTCTCCAATATCCTTCTGTGGCTCCGAGTCATAGGCTCCCATGATTATTGTTCTATAAGAACTGCCCCTTCACACATTCCAGCAGGTCATAGATGGAGTAGATGTTAGAGTTGGTCAACCCAAAGCCCAGGATGTGCATGTGGGTTGTAGCTGAACTGCTTGGTCTGGGTCACTGGGATGACCCCTCCCAGGTGAAATGCAGAGCTTGCTCTCCTAGGCTCACATTGTTGGAATCAGTTCTCCTATGCCCATGGTGAGGGGTGGGACAAGTACAGGGCCAAATACAGGGGCCAGCTCTCTCATGGGGAAGTGAGCCATCTCTCCTGCTGTAGTGTCCAGGTGCAGCTATCCCAGAGCCAGTGAGTGGGGAGACTTGCTCAGCATGTCCCTTAGATTTCAATTCATAGTTGCTATGAACTCCTGTGCCAACACAGGCTATGGACATCATCACAGACTCTACCTGCAGCAGAAACATGGATCCAGACATACTCCTTGGCAGCAACTCAGGCACAGACATCACTATGGCCCTAATGGCAGCATGGGCTATCCAAATCAATATGGCCCTGGTGGCAGCAAGGTCCTAGGATACAGACATGGTCTTAATTGGCTTCCCAGACCCTGGGGATTTGCACAGTGGTAACAGGAGACATGGATATTAACTCAGACCCTGGCTGCTGCTGGGCCATGGATCCTGACATGGCCCTAGGCATCAGCCAAGGGCCTGGATGACACTATAGTCCAATGTAGCAGCACAGGCTACTCAGATTGCTATGGCCACGGCTTCAGCAGAGCACTCAGATATGAACATGGCCTAGGCATCCATATGGCCTTTGCTTTTATTATTGGTAGAGGTTATATTTTTGACTCTTACCTCTAACCTCAAATACCATGTAGTCTAATGTAGTCTCCCATGGCCATCATGGCGAGATAACTAGACACAGCTGAATATTAAAAAAAATTAAATAAATAAAAAAAGAATGAGCAGATGGTACCATAAGCCAACAATAAGCCAACATAGACTTGACTCCAGACTTTCTGGCAGGACACAGAGGTAATCACATATTCTCATGGCCCTGGATAGGACATCGGGACCCAGTCATTCTCTACATCATTATGAACTTCCCACTTAAATGTCTCCCAAGGATATTTTCTCATGATTTGTTCCTTTGTTGTTCAATTCAAATCTAAGGGCCTTTGAGTAGTATTCATCAATCCAGATCTTGTTCCTAGGGAGTTAAGAGATGAACAAAACAGCCTGAGGTCACCATTCTCTTTGGCAAAATCACCAAAGGAAGACCTTGGTTGATGGAATACTTGACAAGTTTTCCAAGGATCAAAGAAGCCTAGGAAAGGCAACTGGATTTTCTTCCCCACATCAACAACAAGGACATGTCACTGTACCCCGTAGGGTATCCTTTAGTGTATACTTTCTACAGCTTTTCCCAACACACAGCTCAGAGATTCACAAAGAGGTATTAGGCATCTTCAACTCCTAGCCATGGTCAGGGATGAGAACAACACTACCCTGTCCTGGCCAACATATTATTCAATGGATATAACAGCCTTGGAATCTGTTGTTTGGATAGCAAAAGAGGAGAAATCTTTAAGGTTGACGCTGTGTTTTCTGAGTCAGTGCATCTGTTAAGGCACTTTTCCTTTCCAAGTGGTTGATCTCTTGTTATGTACACTTTAGCATGAAAAGTCCATCTGCTTAAACGGGCAATGTTACTGGATCCATTGCTATGATGCTATAATGGGTGAGGGTTGCAAAAGCTTGTTACAGCTTTCCCCTTCATAACAATAGTAACAACTACAATATTACTAATAAGTTCAGGCAATATGAGTCCTTATACTTTGCTGACTTTATGTTTAGTATTTTTATATTTTTTCAATCGGTAGAGGCTGAACCCAGGTCTTGTGTGTGCTAGCTAGTCCTTCAGTCTTTTACTGAACCAAATATATCCCCTTCTTAGGTCTTACACTTAAAAATATTTAATGCAAAAAGTTTGTGATTTACAAAGTAACATTTGACGGAATGGTGATAGTAAACATCAAACAATTACATTGCAGGTTTTATTTGTGGGGCTTTTTAAATAAATTTAGTGCTAAATTTCATTTTAAAAAAGTTCTATAGCCTGAAGGGCACAGCACACTGCTACAAAGTACAAACAAATTGGACACTGATCTGTAATTAGCACTCAATCCCTGATGATTATCTTGTGATAATGTAGCATAATATTGACTTTGAATTTAGTGAGTGAAAAGGCTGAAGGGCCTGACTTTTTATTAATTTTACATTGAATTATTACGTCCACACTATGGTTTGGTTGATATGCAACCGGCTTTTCAGGTTCTGTCCAAGTTAAATGTGAATTATTTTTATTTTACACCAAAATCACAAGAAATTCCCCCATTAGTAGCATGTGTCCTTGGGCAATTAGTGAAAAGTAACATTGAGACACCCTACCCCCTCCCGTGTGTAGTCTACAACTACAATAGAAACACTTAGCAAATCCCCCATGTGCCCGAGACCCACACAATTCCCTCCACTGGGCCCTTCTGCAAATGTTCTTGTCTTCTGTGGGGGAACTCTCAAATTTCCAATATCTGTGGATATGATGTTTGCTTCACTTTCAAGGGTATCTCATGAAGTTACATCACTGTGATACTGGTCAATCACCTCATTCAAACTATGGGAAAAGGTCTACTTAGACAAGGGTAGAGGAATGCTCAATGACAAGTTCAATCAAGCTGAGGTCATGAGCAGAGTAAGAGCAAGGCAGGGTACAGGTAATGGAGACCACTTAGTGTAAAGAATACAAAAGCAACAGCAAGAGCAGCTAAAATATGTTTAATGCTTATTTTTATTCATTTATCTGTATGTTTGTATATGCTTAATTATATGTGTGCTGGTATTCATATGAGGAGATGTGCTCATTCATGTGTGTACACATTCAAGGAGAGGCTAGATGACAATATTGGTGTTGCTCCTCAGGATTCCCCCCAACCCTTGTTTTCTAACACAACTGTCACTAGTTAAAAAGACGATCTTTATTTTCCCCAGACTGAGATTATAAGCACACACCACCAAGCCATATCTGGATTTTTATTTTTTACTTGAGTTCTGAGGATAATATCCAGGTTCAAATGCTTGCCAAGTAAGGACTAACTAATTGAGCTACAATATACTTGTTTTTTGTTTACTTGTTTGTGTTGTTTCATAATTATGATTAATTTGTAATCCTAAAGAACATTAATGATTTAACCTCCCCCACCAAATGCATGTATAAACACACACACCCTAAAGTCACTGTTAATTTTTAACTATACAGATGTTAAATAAGTTAAATAACTATTTTTGTAAATAAGTACAATTGATTATCACATAGTAATGATTATGTGCTAAAGAATGGTTAATACTCCAATTGCATTTTGATTGGATTTAAGACCCAATCTGTAAGATAAAAGTCATGCCTGCTGCTATTAACTAGACTAAGAACCTGTGGTCAGGTAGGTCGTAGGCCTTAGGGGAGGAACGGCTACTAGGACTATTTTTGTACCGTAATAAAAGTGTCAATTACACATAATGCAAAATGATATTCTATTCAATAAATTGTATTAAATCATACCTTTTAATAACCACTGAATATTGAATCACACTAACCCAATACAAAAAATCAACTGAAACAAAATAAAGTGTAATATATACTGTGAAAAGAAAAAAAATAAAGAATGGTTAATATGAAAAACTCCATGTACTTCACCAGCTCCGTGAGAAGCCAGGTTGGTGTGACTATTCAGAAGAGCAACAACGCAGATCGTTTTTCATCTGCATGTTCCCACCTCTGTCTCTGATATGAATCTAGCATGAATATGCACACAGTAACACACGTGTCAGACAAGAGCTGAAAGAGCCCCAGCCATTGCAAACCATTGATAGCTTCCTTCCGCTTCCACCCAACAAGAGACAAATCTGTGATGAACTCTGCATTAAAATATCTGATGGAAAGGTTTTTTTTTTCTTTGTTTACTTGGAAATGCTGAAATCACTAGAATTCATCCTGGTGTTATAATTTGGGGAGTTTATTATAAAAATGGTTGATTATATCAAACTTGTCCTTGTGTGGAAAAGTCTCCACAAACCTTTTATATATCTTTGAGTTTATATGAAAAAAAACAATCACATTGAAATGAATAAAAATATCATCTTCTAAACATAATAGATGATAAATGGGTCAATATAATCTATAGTTTCATTTGAACAAAAGAATGTACAGGAAAGTAACTTTAGTGAAGTCGTGGACAACTTTGCAGATAACCAGGTTTACAGACAGACTATTAAAGTTATTATTACTGAAACAGACTAACACTGCTGTGGTTTTTTTTCAGTTTCATAAATATTAATTAAACATTGTAATTTTTCCTTTTTGTACTTTCATGTATTTTCGTTAGCATGATGATATGCAGTGTTCCACAGTAGAATGCCTTTCCATCTATATTTCTTTAGGGTCCATTTCGTTTAGTTATCATTAATGCACCGATCCCACAGATAGGGGCTGGGTTATTTCAAAGGTATACTTCATGCATCTAACTCTGTACACACTCTACCCCTGACAAGAAAGAGGTGAAAAATTTAGCGTAAATTGTTACTGATTACTAATACTCTCTTATACATGGGAGATAAGAAATTGTGTGGCTGCACACAAGCACATGGGGAGGGGGAGAAGTGGGTTATACTTGGTTAACATGTGCTCAGCTCAAGAATGCTCAGGCATAGGTCTCTGGGTCCAAGTTCCTCCTCAAGTATTCTCCACCTCAGTGTTTGGAACAGAGTGTTTCACTGAGCCTACCAATTCTGCTGGCCTGTGACTCCTCTGGCATGGCAATACCTGACTATGTTATGTAGGTTCTGGGGAACTGAACTCAGGTCCTCATTCTTGAATGCAGGTGTTTTACTGGCTGAGCTGTCTTCCCACCTCATTAAAAAAAAAAAAAAAAGAAAGAAAGAAAGAAAGAAAGGAAGGAAGGAAGGAAGAAAAAAAGAAAGAAAGACTTCTAAAGCATGGGCAAACTAGTAAAGTGTATCCTAAACAGGAAGAGCATGTTCAATAACAATCATCCCTGCTTCCCATAGGCTGCAATCCTGAGGCATAAAACGACAGGGAAGTGATAACCATGCCTTAAAAGAGAATGGCACAAGCAGTAGAAATGCACAGATACTTTTGGAATGTGCATGTCCTGATGAAACGAATGACAAATGCCGAAAGAACATAATAAGTCATAGCACGTTTCCAGAGATCTGACATCCCCAGTGCTAGTTTTGCTGATAACTAGTGATATTAGCTCCACCCTAACAATCTGTACTGGTGCCTGGTGGCAGAGATAAAGGGAAGCCTTGCTCTGTGGACCACTGACATTGAACCATAAAGGAGGGCACTTACAACTCATTTCAAGTCGGATGAAGTCTTTAATGCCAAGGTTCTCTAGGAAGACTCCAGATAAAGCGGTGGTTTTGAAAAAGAAGGAAATGTCAGCGCTGAATTCCGCATGGAAGGTAGGAAAGTGGAGGTAGGACGCTTCCGTAGAAAATGAGACAGCATTCCAGTAGTGTCCTGTGAAACAGAGAGTCCTTCAACATGGCTTGTGTGTTTCCTCTGGATATAGAAAAGAAATGGGCTTGTAGGTCATTTTCAATACTAGGAGGGCCCTGAAAGGAAAAGGGAAAAGGGAACCAAAATATCTTGTGCTCATACAATTCAAAGAAAGGGGGGTGTTGTACTCACGGTCACCATAGCAACGCAAGGGGCCAATTCGCCAAGCAGCTTCTGAGTTTGATCTGTTGGTATCAGTGATAATTATCTTAGTTACAGGCAGGTGATCTTTGAAGGAAAGAAAACCTGTATCCTTTGTCCTGCAAAACATAAATTTAAAGGGGGAAAAAGAAAGGATAAAGTATAGATTATCTAGGGATTCTGTGTCAAGACCCCTCTTTTGCAAAGTGACTTGGATTGGATGCAGTCTGGCTAGACTTGGGAGGATCATAACAGAAGGCCTTTAATCTCTGGGCCTTTGCGAATAGTTGGAATACCAATTATAGAACCCATGGCCTGCTTCCAAACACCACTGCATTTTATATCTTCCCTAAATGTGCTTACAGGAACACAGGTAGTTTACAAAGTTCGCTGTGCTGATTGTGGCCAAGAGGACCCGAAGGCTCACTGCAGTGTTAATGTGACATTAAACATCACTTCACTTTCCCATAAAAGAAGATCTGCTATCTGAGGAGCTAGCTGGAAAATAGATTACACAATTCCCTCTCAAAATCACTCACAGGACTTGGCTGAAGCACCTGCCAACAGGTTTTAATCAGGGCTGAATGTTCCTTATCACCTTTTTAAGATGTGTTAAAATGAACCTTTATAGTTATTGGTTGCTTTTTGCTTTGTTCTTTAGAAAGACCTTGCTGGTTAATGACACTGCCTTTGTTCTTGTTAATTATGCAAATAAGGAAGTAGCTAGTTTTCTTTTGATAGGAAAGTTTAAAAAGTGTACAGAAAGCCAATGTTTCCTCCTCTTTTAAGCTCTCTTTCAGTATCAAGGTGAAGATGGTCCCACTTGTCAGAGTATAAAATTGGAAGTAAATACTTGGCATTCTGGAGATATGGAGATATCTTAGACAGTCCAATTTGGTTGGTATGTGAGCACAGAGACTTGAATTCAGACCTTCTGAACCTACCCAAGAATACCTGCCTTATGGCACTCTCTTGTAATCTTGGGGCTGGAGAAATGGAGATGGACAGATCTCTGGGGACTGCCAGTCAGCCAAGCTAGCTAAATTCATGAACTCCAGACCAATGAAAGACCTTACCTTAAAATATAAGGTGTGCTCTACAATAGCCAGGGAATAACAAGAGAAGTTGACTATGGCCTCCACATATGCAGTCACACATGTATACATCCATCAACACACAAACAAGTAAAAATGTGTTTTCTTATATATACACATACACACACTGGGGGAGCCAGAAAAGGTAGAAGATGTATATTATCCAAATACAGTGTTCATGTATGCCATTTTCAAAAGCAAATAAAGACAATGTTTTAAAAATAATAATACAAATTCAATTAAAATAAATAAATTGACATTGACTGTGCAAATGCTTCCAGGATAAAATTTGTTAAGGATAAGTGTAAGCTTTGCCCATACAATTCTCCTCTGCAGTGTGTACCACTAATTCCATGTATGAATGTTGAAAGTGGCTCAGAGTCACTGAGACATTGCCTGGGATCACACGACAGAAAGGGCAGGAACCAAGTCATGGTTTTCCTTCCCTGTTGTCTTGTGTTTAAGGACACACATTAAGGTTAACAGTTCCTACGGCTGTTGTGTGGGTGTGCAGTGTTCTTTTGAAGATGCTTAGCGTGTTGAGTGAGCATCTGAACAGCAGCTTGCAGAGGATTAAATGAAATTTGCAGCTGCTAGGCAGTGTCTGGTCTGTGTTAAATGCTCAGAACTGGTCTCACTGATGCTTACTTGACTTGTCTTTTTCTGTCCCTGAACTACTCTGTGGCCTCAGGCAAGACAACTTATTTCATAGGCATCCAGCTATGATCCTGGATTGGAGATTTCTTGCTACATAGATACATGTGTAAAATTAAATTTTAAGACTTAGAATCCGGCCCATGAGATTTGGATGAAAACACTTAATAATTTATCTAAGTTATAAATAAACCAAAGATCCACCCAAACCCTCCTGCTACAGCCCTATTAAAAATACAAAGACATATATGATATAATACCTGTAATTTGAGTGCTTATGTTGAGAAGCAATTCAAATGTCAAGGCTTTGTATCAGCTAGAAAGCACACCTATGCATGTGGTGCCCACAGAGAGAACAGATTTGTTTTTTTGTTAAAAAGTATTAATAAGTAGAGATTGTAATGCAGAAGCCAAACACCCACAGTAGAGATAAAATGCAGATTCTCTCCTAAAGGAACCATGACATGCTACGTTATGCTCTCCATCCCCTTTTTATTTTCTTGCTGCACATGCTGGGTTCTGAAGTCTGTCCATTAATGCCGACTTGGGCCTCCTTTAGACTCCATAATATCTTGTCCATATCTACTTAGTGCCATTATATCAGCATATAGGCATATGTAAAAAGCATGCTAAGTACATAAAACTCCTCCAAATAACACAAGAAAATTTATATTTGGTTACATAGAGTAATTTACATTATCAGGGAGGATTTTTGTCTGGAAACCTTAATCAATAAAAATAACTCAGGACCCCTTCCCAAGAAATGTTATTTCCCACAGTGAACTTGGAATTATTACATCAATTAAGACAATCACCCTCAGGACAACCTGATTTAAATCCTCAATTGTAAGTTGATGTCTAAAGTAACAACCACATTGGTGAATACAGCTGGTTTATACCAGCAACAGGGAGAGATGTAGCTTAAACCACCTGTATTGAAGAAATGATGAGTCACATTTGTGCACTGTCCAACCTAGTCCTTTTGTCCTTTACTCTGCTTATGCTCTGAGTAACGCAGATGGCATCCAGGGAGCTGTTTACTTCCAGCACTGATGGTCATCTCTGTTTCCACATCTAAGTCACATTAGTCAGAAAATGTCACTTTAGAAATTCATTTTCTCAGGGTCCAGGATGTGAAGTGGAATGACCAGCTTGTGAACAAAGAATGGATTCCCCAATATTAACACTAGTGTGTAAACACACTCTCTAATGTCCCACTGACAAAGAACAGCTCCTTCTGGAAGGAAGCTGGTGCACCACTACGTGGTCACTACCTTCTCTAGACATTGCTGCACACAAAGCAACAGCCCTGAGTCCTTGAGCTGTCCTAGGCTGGTGTCTGGATAACCATCCCCATTCTGTTCACATAGGCTTCCTCCACACACAACACAATTCAATTGATTGGGTTTCAGTTTACTAATTTGCAATCATTTTTTGAGACTGACTCCCTGAGTTTCTACCTGGGTCACCTTGGCAGTTGCTGTGGGAGACCACAGCCTCCTCAGTTACTACTCACAGCTCTTTTGCTGTATTCATAAACAGCAGATCCAGCCACTGCAAGGTGAATTTTCCAATAGCCCCATTTTAGAGTATTTCAGACTTCAGAGTTCTCTCCTTACTGCATCCAGAATTTGGTAGTTGAAGGAAATTCCATTATGTTGGTGTGGTATTTCTTCCCAGTTGTTAGTCCTTTTATTCCACATATATTTATTTGCAGTTTTCATAAACATAAATTTAATATACAAACCAATGCTGCATCTTATAATTAATTTAAGACTTTGTAATATTACAGAATATAATAATAGATATAAGCGCATACTATTTCAAAACTGACTACATGCCGCATGTGATAGATATGGGGATTATTTGCTAATTAAGCCTGCAATCTCCAAAGGTAGATATCCCACTTTCCTAAATTTTTTAAAATAAAATCAGGACCTGGAGCTCCAATAGGCCCAAGGATTATATCCCCTAATTAACAGATGGCAAATTGGGATTTGATTACCCTGTCCCGTAATAAAAATTTAGTTACAGATTTATTACAGTTAGCATCCAGACTATGATAGTGCTACCAGCAAAATGATGGAAGGAAGGAAGAAAGTAAAATGAAGAACAGCTGCATGATCAGTGCATGATCAGCTAACAGTATCATTACTGTGAATGTTTGCCAGAGGGGGATTAGCTCTTTGCCCTGTGCAGCGTGAAAAGTTTTGTACTTTGAACACAGTCATTGGATTCCACGGGCTGTGGAAGCACAACAGTAGAGATAAAGGAAAGGGGGACTAGACTGCCATATCAGATCCATCCTGAGTCTCACCTAACCAAGGGCTCCAGAAAGTTCTCAGGAAGAGCCTGAGGCTCTGGTGAGGACTGACTGACTCACCTCCCTGCCCCAAGTGACATAATTCCTTTGTTGCTGTGGTAAAGTAAACATGCAACTTAACAAAGGAAAGGCTTGCTCTGGCTCTCAGTTCAAGGGTAACAATGTCCATCATGGTGTCAGCAGCTTGAGGCAGATGGTCACAGTGTAGTCAGGGTGCAAAGGGGTGAATGCTGGTTGGTGCTCATCTTAAGGTTTCCTTGCAGGACACAGAATGGTCTTTGGCATTCAATTGATTTAATCATGCCTGTCTTCTGAGTGATCCCAAATCCTGTCAAGTTGGTCATCAGTGTTAATCATAACATATGCTATGCTATTCTCTCAGGGGATGGGAAAGTCTCTGCATGCTATGCATGACCAGAGAAACTTGGTATTAGATCTGTTTAATGATCAATGTGTCCTCATTCATTTTGCTCAGTTTGTCATAATCCATCCTCGAAGGATTCTAAGCTGGCATTCTTGTCACTATAAAAATGTATAAAACGATAAAAACTAGAAATCAGATCTCAAGGGCTGTTTATTTTGTTGTTGTTGCTTTGTTTTTTGCTACTGAACTACTTGTTAATAGCAAGGAGAAAACAGTCACAAGCCAAATATTCATAATGGAAGGTTGGAAATAAGTAATGAGAAAAGCAGAACACCGAGGATTTTGTACCAATTAAAGTTGGAAGGATGTCTTAACTTGTATGTTGCTTTAGTGAAGCCAAGGAAAAGATTTGTAAGATAATTTTTTTTTCTGGAAGAAGCAAGTAAAAAAGTCATACACTCAATTTCATAAGCATTTATTAATAAATGAACATGTGGTATAAATACTGTTATAAAATTCTTATATTTAGAAACATCCTACATTATCTGCAGGAATATTTTGCATGTGACAATGTGTTAGCAGCTATACCACTTACAAGAGTGACACTCATTCCCCTGACGACAGAAAACTTCCAAAAATCCTTTATGGAAGGCAGGAGCTTCAGGGGTCCACCCTTATCCATGA